GAAATACTATTTTGAGACAGTATCGCGTCTACTGTCATCCATTGCATTTGTATTTTTTATAATTTTTATATTGATCATATGGATATGAGGTTTACACCATTGATCTTAGAATGACGAGACGGTGCTATGGGTAAATTTTCATTGCTTTCTGAGAACGAAGTCTGAAATCCTATTTTTAAAATAATATAAAATATTATATATATATATATATTTTCTCTCTTTTTCCTATTTCACCTGCCCTGCCTAACTTCTCACCTACCCCTCTCCTCTCATCTCCTATAAAAGCATCTCCCCTCCCTCTCTTCTGAGCACGCAGAAAAGAGAAAGAAGAGAGAGAAAGAGAAGGGGAGAGAGAGGGAGAGAGAGAGGGAGAGAAGGAGAGAGAGAGAGAGAGAAGGAAAAGACAGAGGAAGAAAAGAGGGGAAAAGATAGAGGGGCCTTTGGCTATTCGGAGAAAAGGAACGGATAGGGAGTCCAATTTCAGAGTTCAATAAAGGCAAGTTCATCTCTTTCCAAACTCATCCCTAGTAAATTTTGATCTTGATGAATATACATGATATTGATGAATATACATGATATTGATGAAAAGACATGATATTGATGAATATACATGATATTGATGAAAAGACATGATATTGATAAAAATTGATGAATATACATGATATTGAAGAAAAGACTTGATATTGATGAAAATTGATGAATAGAATATAAGACCAAATTCCTAAAGACATGATATTGCTAGCTAGAACTATACGTACATGTCTACCGCTGGAAATACTATTATTTTTTTATACGTATGGTACTATTCATACATACGGTACTATTCACACGTACGGTACTGTTCAGACGTACGACACTATTCATAAATGCTGTTACTATTCATATGTACGGCACTATTCATAAATACCGTACTGTTCATACGTACGACACTATTCATGGATACTATTCATATGTACGGTACTATTCATAAATATCGTATTGTTCATACGTACGACACTATTCATGGGTACTATTCATACATACTGTGGTACTATTTATAAATACCATACTGTTCATACGTACGACACTATTCATAAGTACTATTACTATTCATGCATACTGGGGGTACTATTCATACGTACTGTTATTGTTCATACATACGACACTATTCATAAGTACTGACATTATTCATACGTATGGGTACTATTTATACATACCGTTACTATTCATGCATACGGTACTATTCATATGTACTGTTACTATTCATTAGTACGGATACTAGTCGTAAAGTATTGTTGCTATTATTAAGTACTGATACTATTCACAATTAGTTAATACAGCAGATAGTCGGGGTTGGAAATCCTGATCATTTACTGGACAGTTTGGCCTAGTTTTATTTTCTGGAGTTTGTTTGCGCCGTTTGTGACGCGATCGCGGAGTTTGAGCCGCTTGATGTTATACTTACAGTCATGAATATGACGAAATACGCATTTGAGTATCCCACGGGGATTATGACGAATTGAGATCTATTTACTTGTGAGTTAGTACACCGCAAATGAGACTGCGATGATACCTATTTGTCGATCCGCACGGTGATGCGATGATACATATATGTCGATCCGCACTATGATGCGATGATACATATTTGTCGATCCGCACTATGATGCGATGATACCTATTTATCGATCCGCACTATGATGCGATGATACCTATTTATCGATCCGCACTATGATGCGATGATACCTATTTGTCGATCCGCACTATGATGCGATGATACATATTTGTCGATCCGCACTATGATGCGATGATACATATTTGTCGATCCGCACTATGATGCGATGATACATATTTGTCGATCCGCACTATGATGCGATGATACATATTTGTCGATCCGCACTATGATGCGATGATACATATTTGTCGATCCGCACTATGATGCGATGATACATATTTGTCGATCCGCACTATGATGCGATGATACCTATTTGTCGATCCGCGTGATGATGCGATGAGTTGGAAGAAGTTCAGAATGATAATATTATAAACTATTTACATGAGTATTTGGCGGATGCCAAAAGTGTTTCTACTCATTGTTGAGATACTTTGCTATACGAGTACACGAGATACATATGCTGATGTCTATTATGATGCTTTACTTTCCAATTATATTTTGATTGCTTAGTTCAGGGTTAATATTTAGTTATTTACTATTTGAGACATACGGTATATACATGAGGGTTTCCTTGTTTGGATTATTTCGCTCGACGTACTACGTCTCAAGTTGTAAGTTTCTAAATATTAATTCCATTAGATACAGGGAAAATGATCTAGGTAGACTATGCTTAATAGATAGAGCCTCCACTTCATCATCTAGTAGCCCTTCCCCTGGGGGCGGATGGAGGTGAACTTGCTGTAGCGCTCTGACGCTCTTGTTGTTGTTCTTTTTCTTTTATTTTATTTTCTCATTTCAGGCGGCTCAGAGCATCGGAGAGTCGCAGGGTGACGGAGTTCTTGCATAGTCGCCGTCGCGTATTTTTACTAGTATGGACTCCACAGTGATCTTATGTTTCCATTTAGTCATTTGAGTTTGTACTCATATTGTTAAGGCAATATGCCTTAGTACGATTTCTAATCGATTCATGTTGAGACATATCATGTTATTTTAGACTTCAGATGTATATCAGTTGTATTCCAGTTTAGTTTATTTGGGACATGATTTTATTTATGAGATATATCTTTCTGTATCATGTCTATAGTATTTATTTCCCTTATTTGCCTGTTTTGTACCTTCATTTATATTGGTTTCCACTAGAGGATATTACTGTGATTGGTGAAACATGTTGTTGCACAGTGGAGGTGCATGACAGGTTTAACATCTCTGGGTTCACCTTGGACTGCAGCCAAGTGTGAAAACAGGGGCGTCACAATTATGGATGATCCGCTCCGTTAAACTTGATCTACAAATTCTAAAACCCCAACAAACCAAGTTTGCGGTGAATCCATCGTCGTTTGGCCCTCCATCGAGCCATGTGAAAAGTTCTATTCATTCAAAACCATTAAAATTGATACGAGTGCGTCACTGGCGGCGGAACTCACGGCGACGCGATCGTCGCTGCTGGTCGTCGGAGATCGGCAGGGCTTGGGGCGGTTGACGGGATCTGGTGGTCGGAGTTCGGGCACGGCTGAGCTCGGTTGGGGAGAGAGGGTTTGGAGGAGTCGGGAAAGGCTGCAGGGGGTATGGTCAGGCAGGGGACGCAGGTTCGACCGTGAGAGGAGAGGGGAGAGCGCGGGG